ACCTCACGTTTCCACCCTACTTTATGGCAGCTCAAGCCGATCAAATTCAAATTGTTAAAACGTTTGTTACTGCTCAGGTTTCCAATGCATCGTGAGGGGGAGGGGTACAGTATAAGTCAAATTTGACATTAGAGTAAACAAAATCTAGGGCAGAAAAAGTCAACTGATTGCCAAATTAAGGTGGACACTAAGCTAAAGAAAAATTTTAAACTGCACAAATAAAGTAATTTTACACAGAGAGAAAAAATAAACACACTTGACTCCAATAACAACCACCTTTATTACACCATAATAGCTTAAAGCACACACAGACATAACTTGAAATACGTTTTGAATTTTTTTTATATCATATAAACTACACTATGAATACTACAACAATTTTCTATCTCTGTATAATATTTATTACAGAATAATTTACAGCAATTGAAACCATGATAAAATGAACACACGATGTGAATAAAAAATCATTGCTACAAATAAACTTGTTTCCATCAATTTCGGTACATTTTTGTATTTGACTAATTTTTATGTACTCTAGACCATTCATCTCAGTGTTATCACTATCACCCACACGAGATATCGTGTTGGCGATAGCGATAACAGACACACGGTCAGGGTAATTGCTACAATGCACAGTAGATGCGAATATCTGGTTATACACTGATTGCAACACACTTCAAATTATGATAAATAGGATTTTTTCCCATTTGGTATTTTGTAACTGAAATTGTTGACTTGTGAGAAATAATAGTGTCAAAATGTGTTTAATGCAACGTCCAAATGAAATTATGAGAATTCGTTTATTATGTCCTATTTTTCATTTCATATAAAAACTACAATCAGATATGAAAAATACATGTACATCAATTAATGCTGGAATGTAATACATTTCATTAGAATAAAATAAAGTACATTATTACATATGTACTGCAGTTTATTTTGATTCGTCCCAGAAATCAAAATCGGCGTTTCCACAACCCATATGCAAATGAGGTCTGAGAGCAAAGTAGTTCCTTCAGGAGTACAGTTTTTCGGAATAAACAATATTTAGAAGTACGATATTTTCCCCTTGGGGTACATGAATATACTTGCCGAGTGAAATGAAATTTGAACAACAGTAATGGTACTCTTTTAGGCAGTCACTTATTTTGGCCCAAACTAATTTGCATATCATCCATGCAATAATGTTTTCGGTATTTTCACGGTCGATATGCAAATGAACATGGTATTTTCATTGGCTACCGAACTATTTTTATTTTGTAAACACATTTTCGTCTGCTATTTTAATCCAGTTCAAATCGTTCAACAACATTTTTGGCATGTCAGATGTACATCACATGGAATACTACGATTGGGAGAACTTAATGTATGTTGACCACCTGGAAACTGGGTTTTATAAACCTTGAAGGGCTCTCAGAAGATCCACCAGCAGTACAATCAGCGATTACTATGC